TAATTTATTGCAGTTCAAGGTACTAATATTAATGAAGCTGTATAGGCAATTTGGGGGGGACGATCTTTTGTTTTGGTCCCAAAGGAAAAAAAAAAAGCTAGTTTTCCTTTGAGAAATAAGTGGTTTGCCACGTGAACATGTTTAAACTTTGTTTCTATTTTCAGTTGGTTCTTCCTAATTAGTTTAGAAGCTAAGAGTTGTTATTGGCTTTCAAGTTTTTGTTTATTTGGGTTTGTTTTAAGAGACCTTTTTTCACTAAAGTGGTTGTTTGGTAAGTAGGTTAAGTAGCACTATCTTATATAAGTAAAGGGATGTTACATTGACTCCATCAAGATATCTGATTTCCTCCTATAGAATTGGAGTCTTTTAAGAAGGTTTTAGCTTATTTGGTTTAAACAATGTGGATCCAACAAACAATACATTAGCAAGATAAAAGGCTTGGAACACTTTGAGGGGGATGAGATTAAAGCACATAAAATCAGGAGCTATGTATGAGAATACATAACCTAGTAATTAGAGAACTCAAGAATTGGGTTCAATGAGAGAAACGAATAATATGATAGTCGTAAGGGATGCACAGTTTATTTGCTCAACCATATAAGTGTGTATGCCGTCTAACATTTTGGAGGTTGTATTTATTTAAACTCTTAATAAAATCCATAGCTTGTATGAGTGGGATGTTATAGTTACACGACCATCCTTCAAAACCTTTACCTATGTGAATGTGAGATTGGGCTTATCGTCAAATACACTCATGAAAATTAGGATTAGCATAAAACTTCCTATGAACTTCAAATAACCAATGATTCGACTTTATGATTGATCTTATGACCCAGTTGATTTTCTAATTGATTTTGTATATTAAATGAATGTAAAAGATGCTAAAGACCCCATGAAGTGTCGAGCTTTCCCTTTTCTCTTGGAAGGATCCACTAAGGATGTGGTTCAAATCCTTGAAACTAGATTCCATTAACTTATTTGACCCAACTCAACCAAAGTTTCATCAATCAGTTTCTTTCTGCATCAAAGAAGAGGCACCCAACTAACTATCTCTTGAGCAAGGTCTAAAATATCGATTATATCGGAAATATCGGTAGTCCAAAAACACGGAAATTTTGATGGAAATATTGGGATATTATTGATATCAGACCCAACTCAACCAAAGTTTCATCAATCAGTTTCTTTCTGCATCAAAGAAGAGGCACCCAACTAACTATCTCTTGAGCAAGGTCTAAAATATCGATTAAATCGGAAATATCGGTAGTCCAAAAACACGGAAATTTTGATGGAAATATTGGGATATTATTGATATCGATAAAAATTGAATAAAAACCACGGAAATTGTAAGAAAAACTTGGAAATTTTTATTGAAACTTTGGAAAATGTTTATTTAGTCAATTACCTATTAGTTTATCACAAAAAATTAGAAGGAAATGCATTGCATGAAGGATTTAACTGATTTAAGTTGATTATACAGTGAGATGGCAAACACTGTGAGTGTAGAAAGTATGTAGTAATTAATGAAAAAAGATTAAACACATCATAATCATTTATATATAATGATTTACTACAATATTTTACACTTTATATATTACATGGTAAGATACATGAGTGACTTAGAGCATCCACAGTGGGGGGGGTGTAAATTCGGGGATGTAAAGCCACTTTTACATCCCCTTTACACCTCCGGGGAGTGTAAATATGTTTTTTGCTCCAGTGGGGGGTGTAAATTCGGGGGTGTAGCCGTGGGTCCCAGCCTTTTATGTTGACTTTTCTTCATTTTTCTTCTCTTTTCTCGGGTGGGTCCCGCCTGCAAGGGATGTAAAAATGGATGTAAATATACATTTTATTTTACATCCCCACGGTGGTGATGTATATTTACATCCATTTACATCTCACCATTGGAGACGATTTCGGTGACTCGGGGTGTATATTTAACATACACCCCCATATACACCCCCCCACTGTGGATGCTCTAAGAATGAGAAAACGGACTGAGGTCTCAGCGATGATGGAAAGCAAACCACTAATATATCAATGATACACCCCCCCCCACCCCACTGTGGATGCTCTTAGTACCACATAAAGTTCTTATGATGTTCAAATTTTTCACTATCTTCATCATCTCTATGTGTAGAGTAAGTGTATTGTGAAGAGTAGTAATCAAATGATAAATCCCCAAAATAGTTTTGCATGTAATTGTTAACATGCCACCCATATAAATATAAATATGTTAGCATATTATCACAAAAACATAAGTGATATGGTGGTTAAGGTGTTGGAGGAGTAAAATGGGAGGGGTTCAAATCCCCTTTGTGTTCTTTTCTCTCCCTTTTTTTTTTTTTTTTTTTTCCTTTACATCGATATTTTCGATATTTTAGCGATATTACATCGATAATTTGACAAAATATTGTTGAAGTGTGAGCGAAATTATCGACATTGATATTTTCTGATATTATCGTCGATATCGTCGATATTTATACAATATGTACATGGATATGTTCCGAAATATCCGTGATTCGAAAAAATCGAAATATCCTCGATATTTCATCGATATTATCGATATTTCATACTATGCTCTTGAGTAAGACCTTAATGAAAGGTTGTGAGAGTACATCAACTGCTTCAACCAAGAAGTAATTAGTTTCCTAAGCTGCTTCAAAGACACATCCTGTACAAGTCTTCTGGCTGGATTTCGGAAAGGACCTTTCCTATTCCATGTCAAAATAATAAACACCTAAGAATTATAAAGACTTTGTGTTTGAGGCGTATCTTCGTGCCATTGTTGATGGCGCAAGATGAAAGCACATAAAATGATAAAGTAAAAACAAGCATTAACCCTAAAATTAATGAATTGTAATCCACTAGAAAAGATAGAAAATCTTAATAGTTTTATTAGCAATAGAAATTAACTTAAGAATGAAAACTTCATAAAGTTGTTTAAATAGAAAAACAAAATTCCTAAAATCGTTAGAAATCCTAGATTCTAGAATATTCATAAAACTTATCTAATAAGAAAATAATAAAATCCTAATATGAAAATCATATTAGGTAAAACAAATCCTAATAGGATACTTATTCTATACATATAAAATAATAAAGTAAATTAAATATAATTCTTCCCAGATTGTTGATGGCGCAAGATGAAAGCACATAAAATGATAAAGTAAAAACAAGCATTAACCCTAAAATTAATGAATTGTAATCCCTAAAATTCTTTTTGCTTCAAAGCTAATCAAGCAACCTAAAAATCTCAAAGCCTTCTTTTTATACACCATAATTCACACTCAAGTATGATTTTCCATATTTGAAATCCTTTTTCCGATTTTGAATAGCTTTTCTAAATCTTTTGTGTAGGGAAAAAATCCATATGTTGTCATACATCAGTTGAAAGAGATGACATATAATACACCAAAGGGAAGATATTCATCTTGGCCTTACTTAGGGGATAAACAAAAGGAAAATGCTAGGGAGACCAACTTTAGATACCAACTTGTGTACGTACCATCTCTCTGATAGAGAGTGGGACCCATTGAATTTGTGGGCTCCACCACATAATTCACACTCAAGTATGATTTTCCATATTTGAAATCCTTTTTCCGATTTTGAATAGCTTTTCTAAATCTTTTGTGTAGGGAAAAAATCCATATGTTGTCATACATCAGTTGAAAGAGATGACATATAATACACCAAAGGGAAGATATTCATCTTGGCCTTACTTAGGGGATAAACAAAAGGAAAATGCTAGGGAGACCAACTTTAGATACCAACTTGTGTACATACCAACTTGTGTACGTACCATCTCTCTAATAGAGAGTGGGACCCATTGAATTTATGGGCTCCACCATTATTAGAGAGATGATACACAAGTTGGAGTGAAATAATAGACATGATTGACTAAATACCTAGAAGGGACGATTTGAGAAATATCAGACGGTCTTTGGTCGGTGCCACACCGATGTACCCCGTTGTCCATTTTTTGGAAGGTTATGGAAGACTTGGTTAGTCACACTGACCTAGTTCAAACGAATTGTTTGAACTCAACCTCAAGAGGTCATCCCGCTGTTAGACCAAATTCAGGCATCAACAACTTATATGGTGTCATTATTGTTTACTCAAGTTGAGTTAAGTGTGGATGTTTAGATTTGAAGTAGGGAATTAAATTTTAACACACTATGATTTCATATAATTTATAAGGAAAATACTTGCTTCCTTCCCTAGAGTTAGGAATTCCTAATGTCTTGCCTATCACAGTTTGACAAGTGTGTAGAGATTTATCCTTTTGTATTTTTTATAAGTTATTTTTGCATATATGTTAGAGTGTGATTTGTAGGAAGTAAGAATGTCTCTTTCTTAGAAGGAGGGAAACAATGTTTATTAAATAAACATCTTCAATGAAACAGTTAATAATTAATTTTTAATTTTTTAATAAAATACTGACAAAGTTTGTTATTTAAATTTTATTTTAAATTAATCTAATCTACGGAAAATGGAATTTGAACCTTGATGCAACTCATTGCCTTGGTTAACTGATCTATCCAATATTTGCATTTTGACGGAATTTAAGACTGTTGTTAAAGTAAATGAAGAGATGACACAAAATAGAATATGAGACAGAGTGGCCACGGACGTTTTGGGTACAACAAATCTTTACTGTCCAAAGATTAGGCCGCTCTCAACCCAAAGCCATTAATTTTGACAAATAAAAAATCATCAATTCCATTTTCCAGATCTTGAACAAACAAATCATGGTACGTAAAAACACTCACAGATCCAAGACGGGAACCAACTCTGTTTGCACAGGATTGAATACAATGACACAAACACCCTCTCTCCTCCAGCCCACGTAAGTCATGTAATGTGCGGAGAAACGCAACCGAGATCAAAGGATATATTCGTCCTTTTAAGGAAGTTCAAAAATAGAAAGTGCCACTTCTTTCTCTCTCAGATTTCCCCATTAAGTAATAAATGATATTTTATTTTAAATAAAGTAATAAAAGAACATGAAAAGTAACAAAATTCGAAAAAATAAAATAAAATCGCTGCCTTCGCGTTCCGTCTCTGATCTCTCTCCCTCTCTTTCTTTCCCAACTTTCCAACACAAAAAGCACATTCTGTCTTTCTCTTTCATTGGTTTCCTTTTCTCTCCTTTCTGGAAACCCTAAGTGACCTGGTTTTTTTTTTAATTAACCAGGTCCTCACAGGAGAGAACTTAATTTTTTTTGTACAAAAAAAGTTGCAGGCTTTTTTTTTTTTTTTCGCAAATTGTTGTGTCTTAGTTGCATTTCTCAGCTGCCATCGACAATGAACGACCTGCTAACGGTAATTTATTTCTGTATTGGTCCATTAATTTATGCCGTGGCTGGTCTGTTTCTACATTTTTGGAGTTTTTCATGTTCTGTTTTTGTCATGATCCGGCTGTCTTTGTTGTTATTGGATCTGCGTTTTTAAAAGAGTATTTTGAACTTTTGGATTATGGGATTTTGTTTTTGTTTTTGTTGTCTTTGCTTGGTTGGTGAGAAAAGGAGGGAAAGTATAGGAAATTGAAAGTTTTAGAAACAGAATCATGAGATTTTGCGTTGTCTGGAGATCCCTCCTGAGGAGATAATGCAGTTTGCTTGACTACAAGTGTTTAGTTTACTTCATTCTAGCTCAAACAACATGAACTAGTGTAGACTAGCAAAAAAAAGAAGGAAAAAGTTGATTTCTTTTCCTCCTTTTCTTCTTATATTCGGTTTGTCAGCTATCAAAAATAATGGATCTGCATTTCTGTTTGAACCTCTTTAGATCTTTCTAAATCAAACTTTGATGTTATAGTTAATGAGAAGTACATATCTTTCTCATTTTCGGAATTATGGTGTCGGTTTTTATGTATGTTGTAATATTGATAATTTGAAATTGGAGTTCAAACGATTAAAAAGGGAAACAAGGATATGAATGGAAGTTTTCAGACAAGTATTATAATTTTTTAAATGCTGAACGGAAGAACACTTTACATAACTGGATTTCATTAGTGATTGAGGCTTGGTTTTTCCTTGTATATCTGGATGGGATTTCCTTGTTTATACTACTGAACATATACTAGACTGTGTCCTTAAAAAAGATAAATAGCGGCGTTACAATGTGGTTGCATAATTCTCCAGCATATATAATGTGTGTGTAGATATAATTTTTTTTTTTAAAATTTATTTATTTCTGTTTGTATATATTTCCATAGAGTTCAGTGGCGAAAGGATTCATTCAATTGAACTCAAGTAATCTGGATTACTGTGTTTTAGAGTTAAGTTCCTTGTCTGTTGGACCTATTTACTAATTTAAAACTTGCAGGATTCTTTTGAGATCCCTCGGGGTCAAGCATCTAGAGATGGAGATATCGAACTAGGAACAAATGGTTCAATGAATTCTGGAGAATTTGGTTTGGAGAATTTCTTTAAAAAGGTTCGTAAGCATCCTTGCATCCTTTTCTTGGATTTCACTTGAATACATGCAAACTTGATTATTTTATTTTGCTTCAACTTTTCCTTTAGATAAGTATGGAATTTAAAATATGTTTATTTTGTGTTGCTTCTGTCTAATGATTTCATGATTTTTGCCCCCAGGTTCAAGAGATTGAGAAGCAAAATGAGAAGCTGGATAAGCTCCTAAAAAAACTCCAGGTATCTATTCTCTTCAATATGTTTTTCGTACATTGCTAGAACCATGAAAGTTAGTTTGATAGTTCCAGCCTGTTAGTATTTTCCAAATAATTTCGTGATCATGGTTCCTAATTCGCGGGTTATATTCTATGAGTTTTATAAATTTATTACTCTGAACTAGGAGTCATTTTAGTCTTGCGCTTATGAATGTTGCTGTTAGATTTAGTTGAGATCAATTTATTTTTCCTAGTAGCTTGAAAAATTGAGTCCCATTTTTGTTTAGTGTTGTTGTTATCTTTGGAATTATGTGTTTGATGCCAGTAGATGGTGGTTCAATGATATTGTAATTGCATTTGTAGGTATATAGATAGGAAGGGTCTTCATTTGGGAATTTTAGTTACAAGGTGATGAACAAATGTAACTACAAGGAACCCAAACATAGACAATGTTTAGAATTGTATAGCAACTAGACCAAGCTTTGTTTATTTGCATGCCGATGCAGCATCCAGATTTGTAATTAAGTATTGTATAAACTATTGTTTGAAAATATTGTGTTAGCTTTTAGTTTCCTTACACAATAGCATAAACAATTAGAAAGTGTTTTTAAAAAAAAATGAGTCTTTGAGATATAAAATGCAGATTTATGTAATTTCGTTATGAAATTTGTATGCAGGATGCACATGAGGAGTCCAAGGCTGTGACTAAGGCTCCCTCAATGAAATGTAATCTCAAACTTGTTGATTTCTTTATAAAATGCACTTTTATGTAATTTGTTGGTAAATGTTTGGCATTCTCATTTTTGTGTTAAGTGCAAACTTCTTAAAAAGATAGCATATATATGTGCTTATTTGTGGATATAAGGTGTTTCTGTGTGTACTCAAATATGCTTTTTTGTGGACAAGTGGATTTAATAAAGGGGATAGATCACACCCGTAATATTTTATGGTGTTATCTCGTCTGTTTGCATTCAACAACTTAAATTTGATTTTCTTCCTGATTAAGTCTTCACTGATGATGGATCCTTTCATCACATGCAGCAATCAAGCAGCGGATGGAGAAAGATGTCGATGAAGTTGGAAAAATTGCTCGTTGGATAAAGTCAAAAATTGAAGAACTCGACAAAGAGGTATAACCTGATTCAACAGATAGCTGCTTTTAATTATGTGATCAGAAGTAATTTTAATTCCTCGTCTGACTGACCTTTCCTTCTGGGTCCAGAATTTGGCAAATAGACAGAAGCCTGGGTGTGGAAAAGGTTCAGGTGTAGATCGATCCCGAACAGCAACAACCCTGTAAGTTGCTAATAGTTTAGTGATTGGCCAGAAATGTAATCATTTGGTGTTCTTTGTTGTTATATTATGCATTATAGAAGTATTGCCTCTTGTGGATAATCTAATGATCATTGTGGTTTCCTCTTATATTGTTATACTTTAGATGTGTATTTGATTTGATTGTTATGGGCAAATGTTGCAGTATAGTTCTACTTTTCAATATATCTTATCATTTACCGGTGTATTCTTTTCGATTTTAAAGATTGTTCAACCACAACTTCATTTAAGGGGTTTGCTTTTCCTTAATCATTATAAGAACATGTCTGCATGGAACTCAAAAGTCTGACTTAATGGGATTATATTTGTCAATAAACCGAATCTGACTTTGTCAAGTGCCCATTGCCATCTATTGTTACAGTGCCTTGAAAAAAAAATTAAAGGACAAGATGGCTGAATTTCAGGTAGGTCACATACACACATTTTCGTATAAGATTAGTGTTGTAATCTTGTTTCTTTCATTTTCTATTATATTCTCTCAATTTTTTATTTATTTAAAATATGTAGACTCTAAGAGAAACCATCCATCAAGAGTATCGGGAGGTTGTCGAGAGGCGAGTTTTTACAGGTTTGAACCTTCCACTTGTCACTCATGTGTGGCTATTACTTCTGAAACTTGATGCGCCAGATTTCTCAAGACCTTAACAAATTTTTTATTTCTCGTGCGTTTTGTGATTATCAGTAACGGGCACAAGAGCTGATGAAGAGGTGAAACTTATTGCACTGTTAAAATTCCAGTATATCTATACCATTGTAAAACCTCGTGTTCTAATTAGTTATCAATGTACAGACAATTGAAAGATTAATTGAGACAGGAGACAGTGAACAAATTTTTCAAAAGGCAATCCGGGAACAAGGACGAGGCCAGGTTTGTCATTTTTTTCGTTGTTACTCTCTTCCCCTAATTGAGCATATTTAACTATCAAAATTGGAAATTTTGAGAACTTAAGCAATTTTTTTTTTTTTTGGACATATCAAACAATTTAGTCCAAACTGCAATCCCATCTGCTGAAGTTGTTAGCTTGGTCTAATGAATCATCAGATTTACTAATTTGTATTTTCTTTTTCCTTTTTCTCATTTTTTTTCTTCTCCTTTTTGTTAAAGTGAAAATTATACGTTTGGGAGATACCATGAGCCGCTAACCAATGATGGTTAAGATTGATCACATCTGATTTCAATATTCGTGTATCAAATTGTAGATAATGGACACTCTGGCTGAGATTCAAGAGCGCCATGATGCGGTTAGAGATCTTGAGAGGAAGCTTCTTGATTTACAGCAGGTATCTTATTAGTTTGTGCAATCATGCTTACTATTTGATAAAAATATCAAGTAGCTATATAATGCAGATGTCTGAGCCTAGGCCTGAGAATTTTAAAGTTTGCTTTGCCATGTTGATTATATAGAATCAAACTGTTGAATCTTGCTTCATGGTGTTCTGTAAGAATGTGAAGGATCAGTTTGATCCTGAGGTTGTCTCATGGTGTGTTGAGCCTGTGTTTAGTGGCTCATAAAACCATGTTATGTTCCACTTTTAATGCCATAATTTGATCACGTCTGACTTGGAGAATAGCCCAACAGCCTTGAAAAGGGCTTGACATACAATTAAATGGAATCTTTTCCAATCAAATGGTATCTTGAGGGGAACCTTGTGGATTTACAATGGATGTCTTGTTAGTTTTGAATCTTGCTTTATGGTATTTTGTAAAAATGTAATGGATCAGTTTGATCATGTATTTGTCTCAAAATGTTCTGAGCCTGGGCCTCGTCATCTTCCTCTTAGAGCTAAGTCTAAGTGAATGTCCACTTTTAATGCCATAAAATTGCTTTTGGGATGCCCTAGTATGATACAAGAGATGCGTGCCCGATTGTCCATAGATACTTGGATGTGTAAAAAATTAAAAGGAAATAGCATTGCTATTTGCATTCTGCCCATAATAGTTGATAAAATTTGGAAATATATGTTAAAAACCATCTCTTATGCACAGATATTTCTGGATATGGCGGTGTTGGTGGATGCACAAGGGGACTTACTTGACAACATAGAAACCCAGGTATTTTACCAGAATCTCAAAGCATGAGGTCCCCATGAATCTCTCAAAATTATTAAACAGAAGAAGAAGACATGATTTTGAAAAATGACAACTGCTACTCTTGCATCTTACTTTGACAAATGATAATGTAATTTGTCTTTAATTTCTTTCTCCAGGTATCGAGTGCAGTAGATCATGTACAGCAAGGGAATACTGCTCTTCAGAAGGCGAAGAAGCTACAGAAGAGTTCCAGGAAATGGATGTGCATTGCGATCCTCATCCTTCTCATCATTGTTATAATCATTGTGGTGGCCGTGCTCAAGCCGTGGAATAGCAACAAGGGCGCTTAGCTCTAGTAATTTGTAATTTGTAAGTATAGTGTATTACAACTGACCCCTCTGGGACTCCAGCAAATCACGTGAATAATTTGCGGTTCGTTTTACAAACGTGGTTTCTAGCACTTTTATTATCCTGTGATAATGAGTGTGCATGTAACACTATTAGTTTGAAGAAACTGTCACTATATTCTTTAATATACATAAAATAAAAAACTTTCAATCAATTTTTTGTTTTTGTTCACGGTCTAACCGAGTTATTCTGATCATCGCATGGAGAAGTTATTATTATTATTATTTTTTCCTTAAAGACGAACAAACTTATAGAGAGCATAATTTAACTTGCAAATTTAGCATGAGTTCCTTGATGTCATTCAGATGTGAATAGTCTCCAAGGAGGACTTATAAATTATAAGCCTCTAGACTATAATCTTTATCATTTAGATGAATAATCTGTTTCCCGAACTGCACTGGTGGGTGTTGTAGTGAGGCCAAATCCAAATGGGAAGAGAGGATCATAATGCCCATCTCCAACATCCATAGGGAGCTGATTAACGGTTTTGACCCAAGTGCAAGAAAGCTTGCCGGTAAAACCAGTCACCTAATAAAAAATCAGCTACTCCTTGGCCTTCAGTTCCTGGAAGCCAAGCTGCAACAAGAGCATCAATCGAAGCGACATAGGGTTGAATCGCAATAGGATGGCCGGAGATGACGATAACAACGCATTTCACAGCACCACAAACATTAGTGATGGTGCTCAGGCCAGGGTTGGGGATTGTCAAATTTAAGCTGTCACCAAATGTCTCCGTATATGGATGTTATCCAACTACGACTACGACAATGGCATACGAGAAATCATTTCACTTCAAAAAGTCAGCGTCAGGATTCTCCTTGTAGACTAACTTGGGATTTTGGATCCACTGTATTATCCTTGCAGGTTCTTGAAGCTTGAGCCAACAGCCTTTCAGGCATTTCATGGGTTTTGATATGCTTGCATTGCTGTATATACAGATTTGCAAGAGATGCTGGGAGGATTGATTTGGATGGAATCGTTGAGAGGCTGGCTGTGCTCTTGGATGAAGGAGTGCAAGGGTTTGGAGGGCGGTCTGAGGCGCATTGACTCATGACTAAGTGGTGTCACTCAGTTTACTACAACAGAAAAGCCATTCCATAGCACCTTAAAAACACTAAAAGGCAGGCATAGTGATTGTATAGTTCATAAACTTGATTTGTAAACTTGTAAATACTTGTTAATGCTGAAATGTTGCGACACAGACGTGACCTTTTGATGTTTTCATGTGAACCTTCAACCTTCTATGAACCATTATTAGAGCACTCCTTATGCGTATGCAATCAAATCCAATTTCAAGTGCATATGAGATGAGCAAGTCAGCTTAGCTTGCATAAAGAAATTCTAGAGATACAAAATATCAGATGTACTAGCTAGAAGAAAGCAGTTCTATTGATCAAGAACTCTTTACGATTCTATATACCCAAAAGAAAAAATAAATCTAACTACCTGAGCAGTTTACTTTGATTATGCATCACAAACCAATACAAATAAATTAGAAACAATATGCATCACAAACCCACAAAAGTAAAACAGAAATTATATGTACTATCAGTGGCAGATCCAGAAATATTGGGCCAACGGGTCATGGTATAAAATTTCCTAAATTTTTTTGTAGATGAACTTAACACTGAAAAATTAAAGGATGGTACTTTCATTCATATTTTATGGTAAAAACAACATTATAAGCTACAACATCATAATTCATGGTACTTCCATTCATAACTCATAAATATCAGTAATTTCACCTCAATCATCATAATCATGGGGTTTCGAACCTTTACCCACTTGGCTAGAAATGGAAGAGCTTAACCAATTGAGCTATACCTTAATGGCTAAAGTTGTTTCTTTGTTTTATAGTTTGGTAATTTTTATTAGATCTTTTTTTATATTAAAAAAAAAAAGTTTTAAAGTTGTTTCTTTGTTTTATAATTTTGTAATCTTACGTATTCGTGTTTGTCTTTTTTCACAAAGAAAAAGCCCATGTACGTTTTGCAGCCATTCGTCTTATTGTACCAACTGAAACTTCAATGGAGGGATCTTCATCAGAAGGTACATTTTTCAGCACAATCAATATTTGATCAAATGCTTGCTATATATGGAATGGATTGATAACATTTGCGTTTATATTTGCCTCGGCCGCTTATGAAAACACCAGTTTCATTTTACATGATTCAATTCAAACACAAAAGTGAAATGATTATCAACTGACTGAATATCTTCCCATATTGTATTGTATATGTATCAAAAGCAAGAGCTGAGCTATTGATGAAATGTAAATCCAACAAGAAACAAAGAATGTGGACAAGTTCTTCACTGGGCTCAAATTAATGTTTCTGCAAATGCCATTGAAATATTCTTTTCTACACTTGTCACCCCTTTTCTTTAACACTCTTGTGGTACGTAGCGATAGCTAATCGCGGTATGTAATGCCCTGTACATAAAAAGTAGAGATGGTTAAAACTGATTCCAAATGACAGGTCATGCAAAGAATGAGGGGCTTCTTTGTCAGTGTCTGTTTCTGCTTCAACGAAGTAGTAAAACAAAGCACCTCCAGGTATAAATATCCACATCAACACACCCTGCATACAGAGAGAGAGAGAGAGAGAGAGAGAGAGATTACATAGGGAAGTGCAGAGCAAAGTTGCAGAATATTGCTGGGATAGTAATTCTGGTTTACTTTGTAATCTTGCTGGGAGAGGCCTTGGGAGCACGCATAGTAATAACAATATGCACTTTGCGTCAATAGTCAATACCATAGGGGCTTCTCTCACTCTTATTCATGCAAGAAAGAATCTGTGTCACCAACATAGCCCTCTTCTTTCATTATTGCTGTCCAATACTTTAAAGTTGCCATGATTTCATAGCATTTGGATGAGACTTTTCCCCTGCAACAAATAAATTTGTTCTTTGTCCCACTACAATCCAACTACATCCGTGAACCTTTGCCACTCCTTTTTCTTTTATTTCTCTTCGTCATTCCAGTTTCCTGATGCAGAATGTATATTAGAAAGCAAGACATACGATGAAGAATTTTGCGGTTCTAAACACCAGTTTTGAAAATTTATAAAACAAGAAACTCACAACACATGACTGCTTCAAAATGAAAACACATTCCGTAAGAAATACTTAAACTAGTTTTCACACTAAAAATACTAGAATTTCCGTATCTCCACAAATTTTTTGTTCATTTCAAGATGCAAATTAAATTCACTCGGATTTTTTTTCCACTGGATGAAAAGCAGGATCTAGTTTGCCCTCAGTAATTAAGTCAGTTATCATTTTTGCTGTTAAATCATCTGCACAGAAACCCTTGGTCATCATTTCTTGAATAAGTTCTTGTGCCCTTGATAGCTCATCATTACGGAGAAATCCCTGAATGATTGTGTTGTTGGTAACAGTATCTGGGGAACAGCCTTTCTCTTCCATTCCTCTAAGCAATGCTTCTGCTTCACTAAATAGGCCCTTAGTAGAAAGAGCAATTATCAGTATTGTATAGGTCTTGACATCTGGTTGAAGTCCTTTTGAAGGGAAACTGCGAAAGAGATCCCTTGCACATTCAATTCTTCTTGCCGTGCATAAACCATCGATAAGAATATTGTAGAGACTGATACCAAAATCCAAGTTACTCCCTTCCAACTCTCCAAACAATTTCAAAGCCATATCAATCTGGCGGTTTCTACACAGTCCATCTAGTAAAACACTATAAGTATGAATATTTGGAAGTGGACAACCAACTTTCAGTTTTGAGAACATGTTTTGCGCATCATCTATTCTTCCCTCTTTGCAAAAGCCGCCAATAAGTGTTGTATAAGTAACAGTATCTGGAACCATTCCCTTACAAGTCATTTCCTCAAACAACAACATTGCTTTCTTCATTCTTCTTTCATTGCAATATCCGTTTATCAGTATACTATAACTAAAAACATCAACAATAGAGCCCTTCTTAAGCATTAGATCAAAAATGCCTTTTGCTTTATCCATATCTCCTTGCAAGCAATAACCCTCCATGAGCGAATTGTAAGTAACAGTATTAGGTTCCACACCTCTAGCAGTCATAATATCAATTACTTGATTAGCTTCCTTCAACTTGCCCTTTGTTCATTTCAAGATGCAAATTAAATTCACTCGGATTTTTTTTCCACTGGATGAAAAGCAGGATCTAGTTTGCCCTCAGTAATTAAGTCAGTTATCATTTTTGCTGTTGAATCATCTGCACAGAAACCCTTGGTCATCATTTCTTGAATAAGTTCTTGTGCCCTTGATAGCTCATCATTACGGAGAAATCCCTGAATGATTGTGTTGTTGGTAACAGTATCTGGGGAACAGCCTTTCTCTTCCATTCCTCTAAGCAATGCTTCTGCTTCACTAAATAGGCCCTTAGTAGAAAGAGCAATTATCAGTATTGTATAGGTCTTGACATCTGGTTGAAGTCCTTTTGAAGGGAAACTGCGAAAGAGATCCCTTGCACATTCAATTCTTCTTGCCGTGCATAAACCATCGATAAGAATATTGTAGAGACTGATACCAAAATCCAAGTTACTCCCTTCCAACTCTCCAAACAATTTCAAAGCCATATCAATCTGGCGGTTTCTACACAGTCCATCTAGTAAAACACTATAAGTATGAATATTTGGAAGTGGACAACCAACTTTCAGTTTTGAGAACATGTTTTGCGCATCATCTATTCTTCCCTCTTTGCAAAAGCCGCCAATAAGTGTTGTATAAGTAACAGTATCTGGAACCATTCCCTTACAAGTCATTTCCTCAAACAACAACATTGCTTTCTTCATTCTTCTTTCATTGCAATATCCGTTTATCAGTATACTATAACTAAAAACATCAACAATAGAGCCCTTCTTAAGCATTAGATCAAAAATGCCTTTTGCTTTATCCATATCTCCTTGCAAGCAATAACCCTCCATGAGCGAATTGTAAGTAACAGTATTAGGTTCCACACCTCTAGCAGTCATAATATCAATTACTTGATTACCTTCCTTCAACTTGCCGTCCTTACACAAACAGTCAACAAGGGCACTGAAGGTTTGAACGTTTGGAGAGATACCGTTA